AAGTCTATTAAGCACCGATTTGAGCCAATTTATTTTCGGATGGCATATTCGTAATATTTTGGGCGACTATAGGTCATTTTCTTTGGATATTGAAGGCTACAGATCACGGATTTGGCCTGAGGCTATTCTCCACCGATAACGAAGTCTATTGATCTTATTCCCAACGGATGATAAGTCCATTAAGCACCGATTTGACCCAATTTATTTTCAGATGGCATTTTCGTAATTTTTTAGTCGACGAAAGGCAATTTCCTTTGGATATTGAAGCAATAAATCACGGATTCGGCCTGTGGCTATTCTCCAACGGTGATTGAGTCCATTAAACACCGATTTGCTTGGATTTATTACGGGTCAATTTTTTGCAGATTCCAAAGGGGCACCATCACAGATTTCGGGCGATTTTCCCAAAATGCCATTTTCTTTCAATTCTGGAGGTTACAGATCACAAAATTAGGTCGAGGCTATTCTCCACCGATAATGAAGTCTATTGATCTTAAACTCCACAGATGATAAGTCAATTAATCACCAATTTGGGCTAATTTATTTTCGTATGACATTTTTGTAATTTTTTGGGCGACCAAAGGCCATTTTCTTTGGATATTGAAGGCTACAGATCACGGTTTCGGCCTCAGGCTATTCTCCAACGATGATTGAGTCAATTAAGCAGCAATTTGGGCGGATTTATTCCGGGTCAAAATTTGACAGATTCCGAAGGGGTACCATCACAGATTTCGGTCGATTTTTCCAAAATGCCATTTTCTTTTGATTCTGGAGGCTACAGATCACGAAAACAGGCCGAGGCTATTCTCCATCGATAATGAATTCTATTGATCATAGTCTCCACGGATGATAAGTCCATTTAGCACCGCTTTGAGGCAATTTATTTTCGGATAGCATATTCGTAATATTTTTGGCGACGATAGACCATTTTCTTTGGATATTGAAGGCTACAGATCACGGATTCGGCCTGAGGCTATTCTCCAAGGATGATTGAGTCCATTAATCACCAATTTGGGCGGATTTATTATGTGTCAATTTTTGGCAGATTGCAAAGGGGTACCATCACCGATTTTCGGCGATTTTTCCGAAATGCCATTTTCTTAATATCATAGATCCTACAGATCAAAGAATCAGTCCGAGGCTATTCTCCATCGATAATAAAGTCTATTGATCATATTCTCCACGGATGATAACTCCATTAAGCACCGATTTGAGCCAATTTATTTTCGAATGCCATATTCGTAATATTTTGGGCCACGATAGACCATTTTCTTTGGATATTGAAGGCTACAGATCACGGATTCGGCCTGAGGCTATTCTCCAACGATGATTGAGTCCATTAAGCACCGAATATGGCGGATTTATTTCGGTCAATTTTTTGAAGATTGCAAAGGGTTACCATCACTGATTTTGGGTGATTTTTCAAAATGCCATTTTCTTAAGATTCTGGAGGCTACAAATCACGGAATCAGGCCGAGGCTATTCTCCACCGATAATGAAGTCTATTGATCCTTTTCCCCACGGATGATAAGTACATTAAGCAACGATTTGGCCCAATTTATTTTCGGATGGCATTTTTGTAATTTTTTTGTCGACGAAAGACCATTTTCTTTGGATATTGATGGCTACAGATCTCGGATTCTGCCTGTGGCTATTCTCCAACGATGATTGAGTCTATTAAGCACGGATTTGCTTGGATTTATTCGGGGTCAATTTTTTGCAGATTCCAAAGGGGAACCATCACAGATTTCAGGCGATTTTTCCGAAATGCCATTTTCTTTCAATTCTGGAGGATACAGATCCCAGAATTTGGCCCAGGCTATTCTCCACCGATATTGAAGTCTATTGATCCTAATCTCCACAGAAGATAAGTCAATTAAGCCCCGATTTAGGCTAATTAATTTTCGGATGGCATTTTCTAAATTTTTTGGTCGACGAAAGGCCATTTTCATTGGATATTAAAGGCTACAGATCACAGAATCGGCCTGAGGCTATTCTCCAATGATGATTGAGTCCATTAAGCAGCAATTTGGGCGGATATATTCTGGGTCAATTCTTGGCAGATTCCAAAGGAGTACCATCACAGATTTTGGGCGATTTTTCCGAAATGCCATTTTCTTAAGATTCTGATGGCTACAGATCACCGAATCAGTTCGAGGTTATTCTCCACCGATAATAAAGTCTATTGATCATATTCTCCACGGATGATAAGTCCACGAAACACCGATTTGAGCCAATTTATTTTCGGATGGCATTTTCATAATATTTTAGGCGACGATAGGCCATTTTCTTTGGATATTGAAGGCTACAGAAGACGGATTCGGCCTGAGGCTATTCTCCAATGATGATTAAGTCCATTAAGCACCGAATATGGAGGATTTATTCCTGTTCAATTTTTTGCAGATTGCAAAGGGGTACCATCATCGATTTCTGGCGATTTTTCCGAAATGCCGTTTTCTTTCAATTCTAGAAGCTACAGATCACAGAATTAGGCCGAGTCTATTCTCCACCAATATTGAAGTCTATTGATCCTAATGTCCACAATTAATAAGTCAATTAAGCACCAATTTGGGCTAATTTATTTTCGGATAGGATTTTCATAATATTTTGGGCGACGATAGGCCATTTTCTTTGGATATTGAAGGCTACAGATCACGGATTCAGCCTGAGGCTATTCTCCAACGATGATCAAGTCCGTTAAGCACCGAACATGGCGAATTTATTCCTAGTCAATTTTTGGCAGAATGCAAAGGGGTACCATCACATATTTCAGGCTATTTTTCCGAAATGCCATTTTCTTTTGATTCTGGAGGCTACAGATCACGGAAACAGGACAAGGCTATTCTCCATCGATAATGAAGTCTATTGATCATATACTCCACGGATGATAAGTCCATTAAGCACTGATTTGAGCTAATTTATTTTCAGATGGCATATTCGTAATATTTTGGGCAACTATAGGCCATTTTCTTTGGATATTGAAGGCTACATATCACGTATTCAGCTTGAGGATATTCTCCAACTATGATTGATGCCATTTAGCAGTAATTTGGGCGGATTTATTCCGGGTCAATTTTTGGCAGATTCCAAAGGGGTACCATCACAGATTTCAGGCGATTTTTCCGAAATGCCATTTTCTTTTGATTCTGGAAGCTACAAATCACGGAATCAGGCCGAGGCTATTCTCCATCGATAATGAAGTCAATTGATCATATTCTCCACGGATGATAAGTCCATTAAGCACCGATTTGAGCCAATTTATTTTCGGATGACATATTCGTAATATTTTGGGCGACGATAGACCATTTTCTTTGGATATTGAAGGCTACAGATCACGGATTCGGCCTGAGGCTATTCTCCAACGTTTATTGAGTCCATTAAGCACCAATTTGGGCACATTTATTCTGGGTCAAGTTTATGCAGATTGCAAAGGGGTACCATCACCAATTTTAGGCGATTTTTCCGAAATGCCATTTTCTTTCAATTCTGGAGGCTACAGATCACAGAATTAGGCTGAGGCTATTTTCCGCCAATATTGAAGTCTATTGATCCTAATCTCCACAAATGATAAGTCAAGTAAGCACCGATTTGGGCTAATTTATATTCGGATGGCATTTTCGTAATTTTTTGAGCGACGAAAGGCCATTTTCTTTTGGTATTGAAGGCTACAAATAACGGATTCGGCCTGAGGCTATTCTCCAACAATGATTGAGTCCATTAAGCACCGATTTGGGCGGATTTATTCTGGGTCAATTTTTGGCAGTTTGCAAAGGGGTAGTATCACCGATTTTCAGCGATTTTTCCGAAATGTCATTTTCTTAAGATTCCGAAGGCTACAGATCACCGAATCAGGCCGCGGATATTCTCCACCGATAATGAAGTCTATTGATCCTATTCCCCACGGATGATAAGTCCATTAAGCATCGATTTGGCCCAATTTATTTTCAGATGGCATTTTCGTAATTTTTTTGTCGACGAAAGGCCATTTTCTTTGGATATTGAAGGCTACAGATCACGGATTCGGCATGTGGCTATTCTCCAACGATGATTGAGTCCATTAAGCACCGATTTGCTTGGATTTATTCTGGGTCAATTTTTTGCATATTCCAAAGGGGTACCATAACAGATTTCGGGCGATTTTTCCGAAATGCCATTTTATTTCAATTCTGGAGGTTACAGATGACCAAATTAGGTCGAGGCTATTCTCCACCGATAATAAAGTCTATTGATCCTAAACTCCACAGATGATAAGTCAATTAAGCACCGATTCGGGCGATTTTCCCAAAACGCCATTTTCTTTTGATTCTTGAGGCTACAGTCACGAGAATCAGGCCGAGCCTATTCTCCATCGATAATGAAGTCTATTGATCATATTCTCCACGGATGATAAGTCCATTAAGCACCGATTTGAGCCAATTTATTTTCGGATGACATATTCGTAATATTTTGGGCGACGATAGGCCATTTGTTTGGATATTGAAGGCTACAGATCACGGATTCGGCCTGAGGCTATTCTCCAACGATGATTGAGTCGATTAAGCAGCAATTTGGGCGGATTTATTGCGGGTCAATTTTTGGCAGATTCCAAAGGGGTACCATCACCGATTTTGAGTGATTTTCCGAAATGCTATTTTCTTTTGATTTTGGAGGCTACAGATCACTAAATCAGGCCGAGGCTATTCTCCATCGATAATGAAGTCTATTGATCATATTCTCCACAGATGATAAGTCCATGAAGCACCGATTTGAGCCAATTTATGCACGGATGGCATTTTCGTAATATTTTGGGCTACGATAGGCCATTTTCTGTGGATATTGAAGACTACAGATTACGTATTCGTCCTGAGGCTATTCTCCAATGATGATTGAGTGAATTAAGCAGCAATTTGGGCGGATTTATTCCCGGTCAATTTTTTGCAGATTCCAAAGGGGTACCATCACAGATTTCGGGCGATTTTTCCGAAATGCCATTTTCTTTTGATTCTGCAGGTTACATATCACAGAATCAGGCCAAGGCTATTCTCCATCGATAATGAAGTCGATTGATCATATTCTACACGGATGATAACTCCATGAAGCACCGATTTGATCCATTTTATTTTCGGATGACATTTTCCTAATATTTTGGGCGACGATAGGCATTTTCTTTGGATATGGAAGGCTACAGATCACGGATTCGGCTTGAAGCTATTTTCCAACGATGATTGAGTCCATTAAGCAGCGATTTTGGCGGATTTATTTTGGGTCAATTTTTGGCAGATTCCAAAGGGTACCATCACAGACTTCGGGCGATTTTTCCGAAATGCCAATTTCTTTTGATTCTAGAGGCTACATATCACAGATTCAGGACGAGGCTATTCTCTATCGATAATGAAGACTATTGATCATATTCTCCACAGATGATAAGTCCATTAAGCACCGATTTGAGCCATTTTATTTTCTGATGGCATATTCGTAATATTATGGGCGACGATAGGTCATTTTCTTTGGATATTGAAAGCTACAGATCACGGTTTTGCCCTGAGGCTATTCTCCAACGATGATTGAGTCCATTAAGCACAGATATGGGCGGATTTATTCCCGGTCAATTTTTTGCAGATTGCAAAGGGGTACAATCACCGATTTTGGGTGATTTTTACGAAATGACATTTTCTTAAGATTCTGGAGGCTACAAATAAGGGAATCAAGCCGAGGCTATTCTCCACCTATAATGAAGTCTATTGATCCTATTCCCCACAGATGATAAGTCCATAAAGCACCGATTTGGACCAATTTATTTCCGGATGGCTTTTTTGTAAATTTTTTTTGTCGACGAAAAGCCATTTTCTCTGGATATTGAAGGCTACAGATCACGGATTCGGCCTGAGGCTATTCTCCAACGATGATTGAGTCCATTAAGCAGCAATTTAGGCAGATTTATTCCGGGTTCATTTTTGGCAGATTCCAAAGGGGTACCATCACAGATTTCGGTCGATTTTTCCGAAATGCCATATTCTTTTGATTCTGGAGGCTACAGATCACAAAATCAGGCCGAGGCTATTCTCCATCGATACTGAAGTCTATTGATCATATTCTCCAAGGATGATAAGTCCATGAAGCACCGATTTGAGCCAATTTATTTTCGGATGGCATTTTCGTAATATTTTGGGCGACGATAGGCCATTTTCTTTGGATATTAAAGGCTACAGATCACGGATTCGGCCTGAGGCTATTCTACAACGATGATTGAGTCCAGTAAGCACCGAATATGGCGGATTTATTCCGGTCAATTTTTGGCACATTGCAAAGGGGTACCATCACAGATTTCGGGCGATTTTTCCGAAATGCCATTTTCTTTTGATTTTGGAGGCTACAGATCACGGAATCAGGCTGAGGCTATTCTCCACGGATGATAAGTCCATGAAGCACCGATTTGAACCAATTTATTTTCGGATGGCATTTTCGTAATATTTTGGGCGACGATAGGCCATTTTCTGTGGATATTAAAGGCTACAGATCACGGATTCGGCCTGAGGCTATTCTCCAATGATGATTCAGTCCATTAAGCACCGAATATGGCGGATTTGTTCCGGGTCAATTTTTGACAGATTGCAAAGGGGTACCATCACCGATTTCGGGCGATTTTTCCGACATGCCATTTTCTTTCAATTCTAGAGGCTACAAATCACAGAATTAGGCCGAGGCTATTCTCCACCAATATTGAAGTCTATTGATCATAATCTCCACAGATGATAAGTCAACTAAGCAACGATTTGGGCTAATTTATTTTCGGATGGCATTTTCGTAATTTTTTGGGCGACGTAAGGCCATTTTCTTTGGATATTGAAGGCTACAGATCACGGATTTATTCTATGTCAATTTTTTGCAGATTCCAAAGGGGTACTTTCACAGATTTCGGACGATTTTTCCGAAATGCCATTTTCTTTTGATTCTGGAGGCTACAGATCACGGAAACAGGACGAGGCTATTATCCATCGATAATGAAGTCTATTGATCCTATTCTCCAAGGATGATAAGTCCATTAAGCACCGATTTGAGCCAATTTATTTTTGGATGGCATATTTGTAATATTTTAGGCGACTATATGCTATTTTCTCTGGATATTGAAGGCTACAGATCACGGATTCGGCCTGAGGCTATTCTCAAATGATGATTGAGTCCATTAAGCACCGAATATGGCGGATTTATTCCGGGGTAAAATTTGGGCAGATTGCAAAGGGGTACCTTCACCGATTTCGTGCGATTTTTCCGAAATGCCTTTTTCTTTCAATTCTAGAGGCTACAGATCACAGAATTAGTCTGAGGCTATTCTCCACCAATATTGAAGTCTATTGATCCTAATCTCCACAGATGATAAGTCAATTAAGCACCGATTTGGGCTAATTTATTTTCGGATGACATTTTCGTAATTTTTTTAGCGACGAAGGACCATTTTCTTTGGATATTGAAAGGCTACAGATCACGAATTCGACCTGAGGCTAATCTCCAACGATGATTGATTTCATTAAGCAGCAATTTGGGCAGATTTATTCCGGGTTCATTTTTGGCAGATTCCAAAGGGGTACCATCACAGATTTCAGTCGATTTTTCCGAAATGCCATTTTCTTTTGATTCTGGAGGCTACAGATCACGAAATCAGGCCTAGGCTATTCTCCATTGATAATGAAGTCTATTGATCATATACTCCATGGATGATAAGTCCATGAAGCACCGATTTGAGCCAATTTATTTTCGGATGACATTTTCGTAATATTTTTGGCGACGATAGGCCATTTTCTTTGGATATTATAGGCTACAGAATACGGATTCCGCCTAAGGCTATTCTCCAACAATGATTGAGTCCATTATGCATCGAATATGGCGGATTTATTCCGGGTCAATTTTTGGCACATTGCAAAGGGTTACCATCACCGATTTCGAGCGATTTTTCCGACATGCCATTTTCTTTCAATTCTAGAGGCTACAGATCACAGAATTAGGCTGAGGCTATTCTCCATCAATATTGAAGTCTATTGATCCTAATCTCCAGATGATAAGTCAATTAAGCACCGATTTGGGCTAATTTATTTTCGGATGGCATTTTCTTAATTTTTTGGTCGACGAAAGGCCATTTTCGTTGGTTATTGAAGTCTACAGATCACGGATTCGGCCTGAGGCTATTCTCCAACGATGATTGATTCCATTAAGCAACGATTTGGGCAGATTTATTCCGGGTCAACTTTTGGCAGATTCCAAAGGCGTACCATCACAGATTTCGGGCGATTTTTCCAAAATGCCATTTTCTTTTGATTTTGGAGGCTACAGATCACGGAATCAGTCCGAGGCTATTCTCCATCGATAATGAAGTCTATTGACCATATTACCACGGATGATAGGTCCATGAAGCACCGATTTGAGCCAATTTATTTTCGGATCGCATTTTCGTAATTTTTTGGGCGACGATATGCCATTTTCTTTGGATATTAAAGGCTACAGATCACGGATTCAGCATGAACCTATTCTCCAACGATTATTGAGTCCATTAAGCACAGATTTGGGCGGATTTATTCCGTGTCTATTTTTGGCAGATTCCAAAGGGGTACCATCACAGATTTCGGGCGATTTTTCTGAAATGCCATTTTCTTTTGATTCTGGAGGCTACAGATCACGGAAACAGGACGAGGCTATTCTCCATGGATAATGAAGTCTATTGATCATATTGTCCAAAGATGATAAGTCCATTAAGCACCGATTTGAGCAAATTTATTTTTTGATGGCATATACGTAATATTTTGGGCGGCGATAGGTCATTTTCTCTGGATATTGAAGGCTACAGATCACAGATTCGGCCTGAGGCTATTATCCAACGATGATTGAGTGCATTAAGCGCCGATTTGGACGGAATTATTTCAGGTCAATTTTTGACAGATTGCAAAGGGGTACCATCAGCGATTTCTTGCGATTTTTCCGACATGCCATTTTCTTTCAATTCTAGAGGCTACATTTCACAGAATTAGGCCGAGGCTATTCTCCACCAATATTGATTTCTATTGATCCTATTCTCCACAGATGGTAAGTCAATTAAGCTCCGATTTGGGCTAATTTATTTTCGGAGAGCATTTTCGTAATTTTTTGGGCGACGAAAGGCCATTTTCTTTGGATATTGAAGGCTACAGATCACGGATTCGGCCTGAGGCTATTTTCCAACGATGATTGAGTCCATTAAGCAACGATTTGGTCAGATTTATTCCGGTTCAAATTTTGGCAGATTCCAAAGGGGTACCATCACAGATTTCGAGTGATTTTTCCGAAATGCCATTTTCTTTAGATTCTGGAGGCTACATATCACGGAATCAAGCCGAGGCTATTCTCCATCGATAATGAAGTCTATTGATCATATTCTCCACGGATGATAAGTCCATGAAGCACCGATTTGAGCCAATTTATTTTCGTATGACATTTTCGTAATATTTTGGGCGACGATAGGCCATTTTCTTTGGATATTAAAGGCTACAGATCACGGATTCGCCCTGAGGCTATTCTCCAACGATGATTCATTCCATTAAGCACCGAATATGGCTAATTTATTCCGGGTCAATTTTTGACAATTGCAAAGGGTACCTTCACCGATTTCGGGCGATTTTTCCGACATGCCATTTTCTTTCAATTCTAGAGGCTACATATCACAGAATTAGGCCGAGGCTATTCTCCGCCAATATTGAAGTCTATTGATCCTAATCTCCACAGATGATAAGTCAATTAAGCAACGATTTGGTCTAATTTATTTTTGGATGGCATTTTCGTAATTTTTTGGGCGACGTAAGGCCATTTTCTTTGGATATTGAAGGCTACAGATCACGGATTCGGCCTGAGGCTATTCTCCAACGATGATTGAGTCCATTAAGCAGCGATTTTGGCGGATTTATTCTGGGTCAATTTTTTGCAGATTCCAAAGGGGTACCATCACAGATTTCGGGCGCTTTTTCCGAAATGCCATTTTGTTTTGATTATGGAGGCTACAGATCACGGAAACAGGACGAGGCTATTCTCCATCGATAATGAAGTATATTGATCCTATTCTCCAAGGATAATAAGTCCATTAAGCACCGATTTGAGCCATTTTATTTTTGGATGGCATATTCATAATATTTTGGGCGACTATAGGCTATTTTCTCTGGATATTGAAGGCTACAGATCACGGATTCGGCCTGAGGCTATTCTCCAACGATGATTGAGTCCATTAAGCACCGATTTGGGTGGATTTATTATGGGTCAATTTTTGGCAGATTGCAAAGGGGTACCATCACCGATTTTTAGCAATTTCCGAAATGTCATTTTCTTAAGATTCTGGAGGCTAAATATCACCGAATCAGGCCGAGGCTATTCTCCACCTATAATGAAGTCTATTGATCCTATTCCCCACGGATGATAAGTCCATTAAGCACCGATTTGGCGCAATTTATTTTCAGATGGCATTTTTGTAATTTTTTGGTCGACGAAAGGCCATTTTCTTTGGATATTGAAGGCTACAAATCACCGATTCGGCTTGTGGCTATTCTCCAAAGATGATTGAGTCCATTAAGCACCGATTTGCTTGGATTTATTTTGGGTCAATTTTTTGCCAATTCCAACGGGTTACCATCACAGATTTCGGGCGATTTTTCCGAAATGCCATTTTATTTCAATTCTGAAAGCTACAGATCACAGAATTAGGCCGAGGCTATTCTCCACCGATAATGAAGTCTATTGATCCTAATCTCCACAGATGATAAGTCAATTAAGCAACGATTTGGGCTAATTTATTTTCGGATGGCATTTTCGTAATTTTTTGGTCGACCAAAGGCCATTTTCTTTGGATATTGAAGGCTACGGATCACGGATTCGGCCTGAGGCTATTCTCCAACGATGATTGAATCCGTTAAGCAGCGATTTGGGCGGATTTATTCAGGGTCAATTTTTGGCAGATTCCAAAGGGGTACCATCTCAGATTTCGGGCGATTTTTCCGAAATGCCATTTTCTTTTGATTCTGGAGGCTACATATCACGGAAATAGGACGAGGCTATTCTTCATCGATAATGAAGTCTATTGATCATATTCTCCCAGGATGATAAGTCCATTAAGCACCGATATGAGCCAATTTATTTTTGGATGGCATATTCGTATTATTTGGAGCGACTATAGGCTATTTTCTCTGGATATTGAAGGCTACAGATCACGGATTCGGCCTGAGGCTATTCTCCAACGATGATTGAGTCCATTAAGCACCGATTTGGGTGGATTTATTATGGGTCAATTTTTGGCAGATTGTAAAGGGGTACCATCACCGATTTTTAGCAATTTCCGAAATGTCATTTTCTTAAGATTCTGGAGGATGCATATCACCGAATCAGGCCGAGGCTATTCTCCACCAATAATGAAGTCTATTGATCCTATTCCCCACGGATGATAACTCCATTAAGCACCGATTTGGCGCAATTTATTTTCGAATGGCATTTTCGTAATTTTTTGGTCGACGAAAGGCCATTTTCTTTGGATATTGAAGGCAACAGATCACCGATTCGGCTTGTGGCTATTCTCCAAAGATGGTTGAGTCCATTAAGCACTGATTTGCTTGGATTTATTTCGGGTCAATTTTTTGCAAATTCCAAAGGGGTACCATCACAGATTTCGGGCGATTTTTCCAAAATGTCATTTTCTTTCAATTCTCGTGGCTACAGATCACAGAATTAGGCCGAGGCTATTCTCCATCGATAATGAAGTCTATTGATCCTAATCTCCATAAATGATAAGTCAATTAAGCACCGATTTGGGCTAATTTATTTTCGAATGGCATTTTCGTAATTTTTTGGTCGACGAAAGGCCATTTTCTTTGGATATTGAAGGCTACAGATCACGGATTCGACCTGGGGCTATTCTTCAACGATGATTGAGTCCATTTAGCATCAATTTGGGCGGATTTATTCCAAGTCAATTTTAGGGAGATTCTAAAGGGGTACCATCATAGATTTCTGGCGATTTTTCTGAAATGCCATTTTCTTTTGATTCTGGAGACTACAGATCACGAAATCAGGCCGAGGCTATTCTCCATCGATAATGAAGTTTATTGATCATATTCTCCACGGATGATAAGTCAATTAAGCATCGATTTGGTCCAATTTATTTTCATATGGCAATTTCGTAATTTTTGGGGGGACAAAAGGCCATTTTCTTTGGATATTGAAGGCTACAGATCACGGATTCGGTATGAGGCTATTCTCCAATGATGATTGAGTCCATTAAGCACCGAATATGGCGTATTTATTCCTGGTTAATTTTTGGCAGATTGCAAAGGGATACCTTCACCGATTTCATGTGATTTTTCCGAAAAGCCTTTTTCTTTCAATTCTAGAGGCTACAGATCACAGAATTAGTCCGAGGCTATTCTCCATCAATATTGAAGTCTATTAATCCTAATCTCCACAGATGATAAGTCAATTAAGCACTGATTTGGGCTAATTTATTTTCGGATGACATTTTTGTAATTTTTTGGGCGTCGAAAGACCATTTCTTTGGATATTGAAGGCTACAGGTCACAGATTCGACCTGAGGCTATTCTTCAACGATGATTGATTACATTAAGAAGCTATTTGAACGGATATATTCCGGGTCAATTTTTGGCAGATTCCAAAGGGGTACCATCACAGATTTCGGGCGATTTTTCCGAAATGCCATTATTCTTTTGATTCTGGAGGCTACATATCATGGAATCTGGCCAAGGCTATTCTCCATCGATAATGAAGTCTATTGATCATATTCTCCACGGATGATAAGTCCATTAAGCACCGATTTGAGCCAATTTATTTTTGGATGACATATTCGTAATATTTTGGGCGACGATAGGCCATTTTCTTTGGATATTGAAGGCTACAGATCACAGATTCGGCCTGAGGCTATTCTCCAACGATGATTGAGTCCATTAAGCATCGATTTGGGCGGATTTCTTCTGGGTCAATTTTTGGCAAATTGCAAAGGGGTACCATCACATATTTCGGGCGATTTTTCCGAAATGCCATTTTTCTTTTGATTCTCCACCGATAATGAAGTCTATTGATCCTATTCTCCATTGACGATAAGTCATTAAGCACTGATTTGGTCCAATTTATTTTCGGATGGCATTTTCGTAATTTGTTGGGGGGCGAAATGCTATTTCGTTTGGATATTGAAGGCTACAGATCAAGGATTCGGCATGAGGCTATTCTCAAACGATGATTGAGTCCATTAAGCATCGATTTTGTCGGATTTATTCAGTGTCAATTTTTGAAGGATTCCAAAGGGGTACAATTCCTGATTTCGGGTGATTTTTTCGAAATGCCATTTTCTTTTGATCTGGAGACTAAGATCACGGAATCAGGAAGAGGCTATTCTCCACCGATAATGAAGTATATTGATCATATTCTCCACGGATGATAAGTCAATTAAGCATCGATTTGGGCCAATTTATTTTCATATGGCAATTTCGTAATTTTTTGGGGGACAAAAGGCCATTTTCTTTGGATATTGAAGTCTACAGATCACGGATTCGACCTGAGGCTATTCTCCAACGATGATTGAGTCCATTAAGCACCGATTAGGGCGGATTTATTTCGGGTCAATTTTTTACAGATTCCCAATTTCAAGTGATTTTTTCGAAATGTCATTTTCTTTCAATTATGGAGGCTACAGATCACGGAATCAGATCGAGGCTATTCTTCACCAATAATGAAGTCTATTGATCCTATTCTCCACGGATGATAAGTCCATTAAGCATCGATCTGGGCCAATTTATTTTTGGATTGCATTTTCATAATTTTTTGTGCAGCGAAAGGCCATTTTATTTATATGTTGAAAGCTACAGATCACAGATTCGGCTTGAGGCTATTCTCCAACGATGATTGAGTCTATTAAGCACCGATTTGGGCGGATTTATTCCCGGTCAATTTTTGGCAGATTCCAAAGGGCACCATCACATATTACAGGTCATTTTTCCGAAATGCATTTTCTTTCAATTTTGGAGCCTACAGATCACGGAATCAGGCCGAGGCTATTCTCCACCGATAATGAAGTCTATTGACCCGATTAGCCACGGATGATAAGTCCATTAAGCACCGATTTGGGAAAAATTATTTTCAGATGGCATTTTTGTAATTTTTTGGGCGACAAAATGCTATTTTCTTAGGATATTGAAGGCTATAGATCAATGATTCGCCCTGAGGATATTCTCCAATGATGATTGAGTCCATTAAGTTTCGATTGTGGTGGATTTATTCCGGGTCAATTTTTGAAGGATTCTAAAGGGGTACCATCACCAATTTCGGGCGATTTTTTCGAAATACCATTTTCTTACGATTCTGGAAGCTACAGTTCACGGAATCAGGCCGAGGCTATTCTCCACCGATAATGAAGGCTATTGGTCCTATTATCCATGGATGATAAGTCAATTAAGCACCGATTTGGGCCAATTTATTTGCATATGGCATTTTCATAATTTTTTGGGGGACGAAAGACCAATTTCTTTGGATATTGAAGGCTACAGATCACGGATTCGGCTTGAGGCTATTCTCCAACGATGATTGAGTCAATTAAGCACCGATTTAGGTGGATTTATTTCGGGTCAATTATTGGCAGATTTCCAAAGGGGTACCATCACAGATTTCAATCGATTTTTCCAAAATGTCAGTTTCTTTCGATTCTGGAGGCTACAGATCACGGAAGCAGGCCGATGCTATTCTCCACCGATAATGATGTCTAATGATCCTATTCTCCACAAATGATAAGTCCATTAAGCACCGATTATGGCCAATTTATTTTAGGATGGCATTTTCGTAATTTTTTGGGCGGCGAAAGGCCATTTTCTTTGGATATTGAAAGCTACAGATCATGGATTCCGCCTGAGGCTATTCTCCAACGATGATTGAGTCCATTAAGCACCAATTTGGGCGGATTTATTCTGGGTCAATTTCTGGCGGATTCCAAATGGGTACCATCACAGATTTCTGGCGCTTTTTCGAAATGCCATTTTCTTTCGATTCTGGAGGCTACAAAACACGGAATCAGGCCGAGGCTATTCTCCACCGATAATGAAGTCTATTGATCTTATTCTCCATGGATGATAAGTCCATTAAACAACGATTTGGGCCAATTTATTTTCGGATGGCATTTTCATAATTTTTTGGGGGACGAAAGGCCATTTTCTTTGGATATTGAAGGGTAAAATATCACGGATTCGGCCTGAGACTATTCTGCAATGATGATTGAGTCCATTAAGCTCTTATTTGGGCGGATTTATTCCAGGTAATTTTTTTGGCAGATTGCAAAGGGCTACCATCACAGATTTTGGGCAATTTTTCCGAAATGCCATTTTCTTTCGATTCTGTAGGCTACAGATCACGGAATCAG